AGTTAATATTTAAGCCCCATTTATATGCTCAGTACTAGTCTTAGTAGTTTACATGGATTATCTTATTTAATTCTCACAACAACCCTATGAGGTAGGAAACTGTATAAGGTAGAATATTGTGAGGTTAAGAGCCTTAAATACCAGTTGCCTGGATTTGAATCCTACTTAAACTGCTTAACTAGCTGTGGGATATTAGGTAAGTTATTTGACATCGTTTTTAGTTATCTTTAAGTTGGGAATGATACTTACCTACTTACCTCAAAGGGAAACTGAAACATAAAGAGGTTAAGTAACTTACCCAAGATCACACAGATTTGCACGATTTACATTAGAACCCAAACAGGGCTCTCTGTTAACCACATTTCCTCTTTTCCATGCTGTTGGTAACCACATTGATAATAGCAGGTTAATGGCTAAGTAATTTTCACTTTCTCTGACCTTCCTTTAGCAGTTGACGGTATTTCCCTTTTTCTAGAATTTTGATTAAAACTGTTTCCTCAATGTTTTCACATTACTAGGAACTTGTACCCCTGGTGACAACTAAGATTTATTGTATTGTTTTCCTGTTTGTGCCCACTTCCTAAATACTGTGTTTTGAGGTTTGATGCTCCCTTCCGTTCCCTCTTCTTTTTAATTTAGGACTAGAAGGTTAGGTTATAATTTCTAAAATCTCTAGGCTAGACCACTCTTCAAATTTCCGGATTCTTGATTTCAACTTCTTAAGTGTCCCATAGGTACTTTAAACTCAATTTTTGTGAATATGTCGCCTCTGATTAAGATATCTTATTTTGGCCAGTTGCATTGTCTCATGCTTGTAAACCCAGTACTTTGGGTGGCCGAGGAGGGTGGATCATGAGGTCAGGAGTTTGAAACCAGCCTGTCCAATATGATGAAACCCCATTTCTACTAAAAAATACAAAAATTAGCTGGGCCTGGTGGCAAGTGCGTGTAGTCCCAGCTATTCAGGAAGCTGAAGCAGGAGAATTGCTTGAACCTGGGAGGCGGGGGTTGCAGTGAGCCAAGATCATGCCACTGCACTCCAGCCTGGGCGACAGAGTGAGACTGTCTCAAAAAAAAAAAAAAAAAAAAAAAAATGGATATCTTTATTTTTGGTTTCCTAATGTGGCTGAAATTTTAGTTACAGGAGTGGGAAAAATATTGGTTCCCCATTTTCACTTGTGCTTACGTTAATACTTCTGCAGTTTATTTCGGTGAAATAATCTTTTAAAGTGGTTATTTTGTAAGGTTCAATTACCTTAAACTAGATACTAACTATCCCTAAATCCATTTACCTAAATTGCAGTACCTTGTGATACACTAAAAGAGAATTGGAGAGTATGATAAATAACTGTCTCTCTCTGCATTGTGGAGACCATTGGTACGGTATGTGAGACATGACAACTGACATACAGAGTGAGAATGTCAGTGTCAGTTTATACATGATATTGGTAAATATTTCTTCCTTGTTTAGCTTAAAAACAAATGTAAATAGAACTTTTTATGTGTTTTCCTGTGTCCTAGTGGGTTGTTTTATATACCATCTGGGATATGCATCATCAACTTTCAATATTAGTGGTCTATAGGATAAAGGTTAAACTGCTTCCTATGGCGTACAAATCCCTGTGCAGTTTTGTTTTACTTTGTTCTGGATACTTTTCACTTCTGTGGCCATTTCTCTTCTCATACCATGTCTTGCAGCTTATTTAGTTATAGTATTCATATTTCCTTTGTTTACATTGTTTTGTTAGTCTGAAATGTTCTTTTTACTTCTTCATGCAACACTCTTCCTGTTTTCCATGAATCAGCATGCATATTACCTTTTTGGGGGCGTTTTCCTGAGAATGTAGTGTAGTACGGTGGAATAAATAACATGGGGTGTAGTCTTTGACTGATGGAGATGTCTGTCTGAATTTTAATTTTTGCTTCCTGAAAACTCTCTTGCTTTGGGCAAATTACTTTGCTGTGCTTCATTTCCCTATCTGCAAAATTGGGATAATAATACTATCAATTTTATGAGTTATTAGGAAGATTATTTTAATGAGATTTACATGTGAAGTACCTGGCACATAGTGAGTTCTTTATAAATGGCATCGACTGTAATTAATTCTCAGATGCAACTTGTAAAATATTTTTATTTTATAATCAAGATACATATATATATTTAAAATGATTCTTATGTCAGCTACACAAAGCTGTAAGAAAATTGAGGGTACAGTTGAGGAATTATCTTGGTGGTTGCCTTTTTTGTGCTCTTACTATTTGTATATACCTGTCTTAGCATTTTATTTATACAGATAATATTTTGTATCTTACTGCATTAGGCTGTTCTTGCAGTTGCTATGAAGAAATACCTAAGACAGAGCAATTTCTTAAAAAAATACGTTTAATAGGCTTACAGTTCTGCAGACAATACAAGGATAGCATTGGCATCTGTTAGGTTTTCTGGGAGGCCTCAGGGAACTTTTACTTACGGGAGAAGAGGAAGCAGGAGCAGGCACTTCACATAGCAAGAACAGTAGCAAGAGAGGGTCGGGGGGAGGTGCCACACACTTGTAAACAGCCAGAGCTCACGAACACTCACTACCTTGAGGACAGAACCAAATCATAAGGGATCTGTCCCCATGACTCAGTGACCTCCCACCAGATACCACATCCAACACTGGGGATTACATTTCAACATAAGATTTCAGGGGATATATATCCAAACCATATCACTTATCCAGCATGTCACCGGGCACATAGTAGACTGTAGATGTTGATTGAAAGCGCAAATGAGTTATTTCTCGGACTATCACAAGAGAATGTTCATCAGGCTTTGATTTTTTTCCCCTGGTAATATGAAATTTAACATTTTTTAACACCTAAATATAGAGTCACTGGATTTGCATTGTGTTCTTTAGAACTGTATCAAGTCTTTTGTTAGTTTAACTTGGTTAATACTTAAAAGTATAAAAGTAATTCCCATGTTTAAACGTTAAATACAAATGGAGATTCTGCTTTTATTTTGCAAGAACGTTTACTGAAGATGACCGTAGAGGAGAGGCGCAAAGAATACCTAAGAGACTATGTTCCCCTGAACATCATTCTATCATGGAAGGAGGAGGTGAAGGGCAAGAGCCAAAATGATGGTAAGTTTCTTGGAACATTTTTTAGGTAGATACTGTTCCCATTTATTTATGACTCCTGCAGGACAATTGTTGGCAGAAATGAATAATTGGCATTCAATAAAGAGATTACTATTTTGCTATTTGAAATTATTGCTTGGTTGTAATTTAATTGTTTTTAGTAACCCGTGGCGTATTTTAAACTTAGGAAAGTATATTAACATAATTTGTATTCTGAAGTATACCACATTTATAATATGGTACTTTTTTGCAGGTCTTTTTTTTTTTTTTATTTTTTTAATTTCTATTCTGTGATAGTTCTTGGAGCAAATGCTATTAGAGATTTGCTGATTTGGTGGTGTGGCCCTTTGAGTTTGCTTTAAGTTCATTTATAATGGATTTCCTTAATGTTATTTTAAGGATTGAATATAGTCGAAAGAGAGTATATTAGGAAAAATAGAAAAACCAAAGAACATTTCTCATTATTTTAGAGAGGAATATATTTTGTATGGTGTGTTATGTCTACATGTAAAGTATTTGTATGACAGAATTTACTCTCAAAGTCTCTTGATTAGAGTCTAGATTATGTTAGAATATAAAGGAAATTTAATGATTAAAAAGGTACCTGAAAAAGCTTCTAAAAACAACATAATAGATTTAATGGATGTTTAATATGCTTTTCTTTGAATTCACACTCATTGGTATTAATGATCTGGATGTGAAGTTTAGGCAAACAGGGTACTTCTTAGGGTACTTAACGTTGAGAAAGATGACTTTATGAAATGGACTTGGAATATGCTAATTTCACAGATTTGGTCTTAGATTGATGGAACTACACAGGGTACCATGGGCCTGGAAAATAAAGATTGGCATGGAATTCTTAGGGATAAAATCTTAAGGGAAAGATTAGGCTTTGGTGTCGGTGAAGAGAACACATTGACCTGAAGATTTAGGTTTTGGACAGAACTTTTTCTACGAAGGAAAGCATATGGGATTGGGAATGAAAAGATGTGGGTTCTTTTAGACGTTACATATCCTGGAAACGTGTGACATTGGGGTAGTGGCTGTACCCCAAGTTCTAATGGGGTCATTGGACAAGCTGATTGGGATGTGCGTATCTGACCTGTCTGCCCAGTGTCTTCTGTAAAGGCAGCTTGTTTTAAGAATGGTCTGATTCCCAACTGGTAAGATTGGCCCTAAGAAGCCCCTGCCTGACCATGTGAGCATCGTGGAACCCAAAGATGAGATACTGCTCACTTCCCCCATCTCAGAACAGAAGGGTGGGAAGCTAGAGCTGCCTGCCATGCACCAGCCAGTCTCCACAGCGTAACAGGGCCTCCTTGGCAGCTGTATTCTGGAGTCTGGATGTTGCTCTGAAAAGGCCTTTAATAAAATCTTGTACAAAGGAAAAAAAAAAAGAATGGTCTGATTAAGACATTATTGAGGCTGGGCGTGGTTGCTCACGCCCGTAATCCCAGCACTTTGGGAGGTTTGGATCACCTCAGGTCGGTAGTATGAGACCAGTCTGACCAACATGGAGAAACCCCATCTCTACTAAAAATACAAAATTAGCAGGGCGTGGTGGTGGTGTATGCCTGTAAATC